CTCTCCTCTCCTCTCCACCAGTTACAGCAGTCAGGAGGTAAATACAAGTGCGCAACATCTTTACGCAGTACCAGCCAGACTCTGTACTCTGCTCACACAAACCCACATCTACTACATCTACTACGCTCACCGCAAAACAGTAAAGTAACAGTGGCTTTTAAACAATCTGATGAAGATTATTGGATCACGTTGGAGCAAAGAAAGTTATATGAGCATTCCCAAGTGGATTACAAAAGCAGGGTGAGACATAAAGGGGAGTCGCGTTAGAGTGAATGAGAGACCCACCCATAGCAATGTATAGAGTCCATACATACACACAGAATGGTTGCTTATCATCACAGTGGGAAGAAGTAGCACAACGAGACGCAGTTTGTGACCAGACTGTAGTAAACACTCACCTTATTTGCGCCACTTTAGCCCCAGTCTGTTGCGCAGTCAGCCGTCTCCATCTCCGCCGTCAGCAAGTGCGGTCTTACATTATTTAATTCACTAGAGTCCCCTGCCCATATTGAAAAAACCCAGTCCATCGACATTTTCACAGCAACACAACGCTGCCCTGCCCACCGCGCACACACCCCCGCCGCCGGATTGGACGCGACTGACAAGTGCGTCGGTCTGGTCACGTGACTCTGACGCATGTTTACAAAAAAGAAAGTCCCTTTACAGCAGAGAACACGGCGTTCATGTCATGTGTGCGCCACATTCTCGGCACTTCCGCTTTGCTGTGAACTAGTTTTTATTGAGCACTTGTTGTTGCGGTTTAATTATTAGAATTTACGATAGGACAGTGCTTTTCGTCTGTTGTTTTGACCCATTTAAGTTTTACAGCTCCAGTTATTGTTCGCATTCTTTTGCTGATATCTAAGGGTTTTATAATGATGAAATATAATGTTGCCGTAGTGATTAATAACAATTAAAAACAAAGCAAACTATCAAAGTAAATCTTCTGAATAGAAAAAAAGCCTCATAATTTTGCATATAACAGAAGCTGAAACTCTTATAGGTTTATTTATTCAATTTTGTATGATTTTAGGATAGTTTGTTTTTCAAAGTAGGTTACATTTTTTTTCCAGCATGTTCCTATATTTTTTCTATTTGCTCTGTCAGCTCCTATCTTGCACTTGCTCAAAGCGCACAACAGGGGGCAGTCAAACACAAGGCATTTATACTAACCACTTACGTTATTGTTTGGAATAAAGCTCGTCTTTTCTCAGCACGCCCAGCTAACTGTGGATAACGTTGTAAAAATAAAGAACAGTGCGTAATTTAGAGGTGCTTTCCAGTTTCTACATTGTAATGATGTGTTGATATCCACATTGGGGCAAGAGACTGTTTAAATTTTGATTTGAAGCACTGA